CCCCCTCCCCCCCTTCCGCCTGGTCTGCGTGACGCATTGGTACACCACGCGGTCAATTCAATTTGGGACCCTCCCCCTTGTCCTCCCTCTCCCCGGGGGAACCCCAAAATCCAATTACACCTGTACATGTAATTCGTAAATTCCTGACGTCCTGTAATTTAATCATTGCTTGGCGATGCCGGTGGTCGCACCAGCAGCAGGGACACCGGAAAGGGGGGAGGTTGAGGGGGGAGGTTGAAGGGGAAGGGGGGGAGGGAAGGTGGTGTTGTCCTACGGGGATGGCCCTATAAACATCCACAAAAACAGACCCGATTCGCCGAGACCGACGACTGTGGTGAGACTGTACCGCATGCACGCGAGCAAGAGGGTTGCCTACTCGCTCGGACCGTGAGGCGCAATGGTCAGGGGCAATATTGATGCTTATCTAGCGATGTTAAATTTTTATGCCTTTGCCAAGGTACACAAGTGTCATAAGGCATTAAAATTTAGCTCCTTTACGCAAGATTTAATGCCTTTGAAGGTGTCCTAATTTTAAATGCCTCTCGAAAGGCATTGAACTCTTTAAACCCTAGCTTTACTTTACCAGTGATCTTGATTTCCAAAAAGTAAAATAAGTAATATTTCCAAGCAAGCCGTCCCGTTGACTGTGCAAAATACTACATTTATGTGCCAGCAGAGAGTACAGAAACGCACGACTCTAACCCCAACCGGGCGGGGGATAGCGACACGTCGCCCTGCCCTAGAGTCACTGCAGACAAGGTGTATCGCCGAAGCACAGCCTCGGTGCTGAAACAACCCGCCAAAGTAACTTTTAATTACGCGTGCTTTGCGTCGGCGCCAATCAGTTTTCCGGCTCGACCTAAGAAAGTGCGAAACAGCCACGCGACACAACGCTTCAAACACGACTGCATGGAAAGTGATTCACAGCGCGGGTCATTTATTGTCAATGTGTCGTCACTCAGGAAAACTTCGGTTTTACTCATGTTTGAACCTTGGTAAAAACAACTTCGATGAACTCCGACATAGTTCGGTGAACACCAGCCCAGACGATAAACAAAAACTTCAAACCAGTAATTTTTGACCAAAGCTCAAACTTTTTTGTTTTTTGAACCTATGCCGCTGCAGCAGTACTAGTCGGTGGCGTGGGCCGTCTTGTTGCTGAGGTTGAGCAGCATCTGCAGGTACGAGAACCACGACTTGAGCACGGACTCGCAGACGGGCAGCCCCAGCGCGCCGAGCCCGCGGCACGTGATGCAGGCCGGGCGCGAGGCGCGCAGCATCACGAACGCGCGCACGCGCCGGTGCTCGGGCGCCTCGGCCGGCCAGCGGCCCTGGTACGCGCGCAGCCCCACCAGCTCGCTCGCGTCCGACAGCCCCTGGAAATGTGTCACGTGAGTGGAAAAATATATTTTGCAATTTTAAAATGTATTATACAAGTGTAAAATGTACCATATGAAAGTAACAAAAACGTATTATGTAAGTACAAAATGTAACAAAATGTATTATGTAAGTATAAATCATCTTTAAATGGTGAACGTGATTGTACGTACGTTGTGTGCGTCCGATTGCGCGGGAACGTTAGAAACGACACTCATGAGCTCGCGTTAGACTCGATTCGTTTGTGTTATTATTGGCCTAGTTTCTTACAACAGGCCAAACGTTACAACGTTATTCGAGTCGTTGGTTCTGAGTACACTAAATTGTGAAGTGACAATTTACTCCTGAAACGGCAACGTGTGTCCACATCCAGATCGGATAAAAAATTTGTTCCTAAACCTGGACAAGTTGTAGAACCTAACACTAATGATAGAACCTAACACTAATGATACATTATTTTTCGCGATATCGTTTTCGGAGTGACGAGACAAAAGGACGACGTTGGACATGCGACTCACCTGTCCGCTGATGCATATGGGCACAAAGACGACCAGGATGATGGGGAAGGAGGACAGGAGGTAGGCGTCGATGTGGCCCTGGACGATGTCGTACATGCCCTGGATGGGCAGCAGCAGGACAGCCGAGAGCAGCAGCACCATCACGTCCGAGGTGAGGCGGTCGAGCAGGGCGGCGGCGGCCGACAGGCGGCCGTGCAGGCGCGCGCAGTCCAGCAGGGCTTCGGGCGCGCGCACCGCCTGGACCTCGGCGCCGGCCGCCCGGTACAGCGCGCCGCACGCCTGCTGCGTCACCACCATCAGCCCCACCAGCGTGTAGAAGGCGATGGGGCAGCACGTCCCGGTGATCACCTGCGCAGCCGCACCCGTCGCACCGTTACCTTTCTCTATCCGCGTTGAGACTGGGCGAGCACACGACCCGAACACGATTCAGTCGCTAAACAAGTGCTAAACAACAGGCATACGGGGAAACGGAAACACAAAACGTACAGAGCGACGCACCAGATCGAAATCGACACACGCCTCTACAACCAACGCCGCAAGCAGCGGGCGAACTAACAACCGACAACATCACAGACACGAGGGGCGAATGCAGCGCCAAGCGCTCGGGGAGACTACGTGCCTCGGAAGCTTCCCTTTGTGTTCTTGAACAGTAACGCTCTGCCCGTGCAAATCCCGCTCCTGCTGACCTGCGAGGCGAGCGCAGCGGCCGCGGCCACGCGGGGCTCGGGCGTGTGCTCTGGCCGGGGCCAGACGGGCATGCTGAGGCTGCCCGAGGACAGCGTGGGGAACAGCACCGACGCGACCACCATGACCGAGTAGGCGCCGTACAGCCGCTGCAGACGCGCGCACCGCCGGGCCGCGCGCGCCATCGACGCCTGCAGACACCACCAACAGGTTATACTCGAACTCATTTTCGTTGTCTTTGCTGGTACAATGTTATTTGGGTAAAAATAGGGCTTCGAGTCTTTTTAAAGTTGGCGGGCTTTGAGAGCCCGGCGCCGCGGCCGTGGCCGTTCCCGCACCTGCGCGTCGTCGTCCGCGTTGGCCTCGAGGCGCTGCGCCACGGCCGCCATGTCGCCCAGCACGCGCCGCATGCCCTCGCGCCGGTACACGTACACGCCCTGGGCCACGATGCACGACAGGATCCCGGTGAGGAAGCGGATGCCCAGGCTGGCGGCCAGGTACGACTCCTTGGTGAAGCAGTCCACGATGGCGAGCAGCGCCACGGCCCCGGACACCACCACCGACACCTGGGCCAGCGGACACAGAGTTGCACGACGCAGCGGCCAGTGGTCCGCGCACAAGGGCCGCCGAGGTCACCACCACCACCTACCCGCGTGCCCTGCAGGACGTTGAACGCCCTCCTGGACAGCCTGGCGCCCTTGGGCGGGCACACCTCCTCCAGGCGCCGCTCCAGGTAGCCGCTCAGCTTCATGGCGGCGCGCCGAGGACCCTGGTGGTGGTCGTCGTCGTCGTCGTCCTCCCCCGGGCACCGCGGCGGCCGGAGTGGACCGCGGCCTGCCGCCGCCGCCGCCAGGACATCGACGAGGACGCCGTCGGGAGGGCGAATATTATAACGCGCCGACCAGCCTCGACTGTCGGGGCTTCTGGCGGGCAATTACCCCACGGCTGGGGGTGGCCGGCACCCCGTGGGTGAACCCTCGCAACTCGCGGGCGGGGGCCGCGCAGATGGGGGGGCGGCGGCGGCGCAAGCGGCCCTCCTGGGGCTCACTGATGGCGCCCG